TTCAGGACAAATCAATATTCTCCAAACAAGTCCAACATAGCCCTCTTCAGTGACTCGGATCTCGTCCATCTCAATTCTTTCCACACCGTTTACTGCTTTCCGTCTGTCCCGCTCATCCAAGAAGAAATGTCATAACAGCAATTAAATGCTTCGGTTCTTCCGTGGCTCACAGCAAGTATCCATCCTGTACAGCGTGCTATCTTCTCCGGCGCTTATACTTTTCAATGTCCTGTAGTCACGCTATCGCGTTCGCATCACGCCGCCTCCTGAATGTGGTTCAAACATTGTAAGTACCGACCCGCCGTTTCATTTGAACCCACGTCGTTTACGATACAGTAGCCAAATCTCGTGTGTGATTGGCGTCCTCAAACATCGGTATTTCACAATCCTCTTCCCCCATGTTGCCGCAGATCTGTTAACGAGAGAACCTAAGGCTCCTGGGGAGCCAGGGTTGAGAACAATTGACGAGCACCATTATTTCCTACGCAAAAATTCTGGAATAGTTCTTGGTAGGGCAATTACCACTGATCACTTGGACGAAAACTTCTAACCAGAATTGCGTCGTCTTATCGGAGTGTATCACATCAGTTTCTCTTCCTCGGGTCAATGACTCGCGATTCTCTGTTTCGGTTGATACAAAGCGGTAAGCTCTGCCAAAACGTCGATGTCTTCTGCAACCAATAGAGTTCAATACTCAGCCGGCACTTGTTAATTTCCCAAGCCCCATTCAGAAGCAACCCGTCTAAACTTCGTTATAATTGGTTGTCGGCGAAACTCGAAACCACGCTCTATCTACTTACTGGGAGGTCTCCTTAGCCTAGTCTACTTAAACTTCGAGCCTTGGAACAAGTAGCGCTCCACTTCCGTTGACAGGTGATCATCTGTTTCCCCATCTTTGTCTCATGTCACCTCGTATTTCTACTTAACTATCGCTATCCGGAAAGACTTACGCTAGATCTTTTTTAGTCCCAAACATCGCGACGTCACATGGCCTAATCTGATTGCGTATCTCATTATAGCAGAGCCTTGTTCTGGAATCTGGTGCAATACTCCCAAAACATGCCTATAGCCGAGAGGCTTATGGGTGAGTCTGTGGGATTCCCGACATACAAGGAGGAGAACATGACAGTGATTAGGTTTGCCTTTATCATGTGCATGTGTACCTACTGCTCACCAGAATGTAATGACCGAGTCATGCGCGAGGGCTAGCTTCTGCATGAAACCCTTCGTAATGTATTGACATACGAATGTGAGTATCTGCATCCCGACCACCAACCGTCTTATATATAGGACGGCAAGTAAGCGGCTTCTTATTAAGATCCCTTCTGACCGAGGCTATTATAGAGGGTTAGTAACCGAGGTCGGTCATGGTATTATGATACCGAATGGCTAATATCTTGGAACCCAGCGACGTACCCTTTGGACTTGTATAAAACAACCTGAAGATGCTGCCCAAACTGCATTCACAAACATGCCTCTCCATCGCTTCTATACGCCCATCGGATTCTATTCCAAAGAGGATAAAGCTGCTGTAGTCAAAGCTGTACAACAATGCTACCCCCCTCCTGCCCAAATTCTACGTCGTCGTCATCTTCATTGAGGTGGACAAGGAAAACTTCTATGTCGGAGCGGAGGCCACCGACAACTTTGTCCGCCTAGTCGTGCATCACATGGCCGCCCATTTTAGGTACGCTCACAGGTTACTATAATCGATGTGTAATTGAAAAGGCTACGCAGCAATGAATACAAGAAAGAATTTATGGAGAAATACGAGAAGGCATTAGAGCCGTTCATCAAGGCACGAGGTGCTGACTGGGAAATACAGATTGCGGAGATGGACGTGAGTACCAGTATATTTGTCTTGGGAAATGCAGTACTTGAAAGTTGACGGGATGTCTTTCGCTGCAGCGACACCTGTGGGGAATGAACGGTATCAACCCCCCACCACGAAACTCGGAAGCGGAAACCCGTTGGATCATAGAGAACAGACCTTCAGAGTACTAGATTCTCTCGTGAGACGAAAGCGAGTTGCTTAATCATACGTAGACAAACGTCCCAGACTACGACCTGGTGAAAATTCAATTTATATGTTTTGTTCTTGAATATTATCGAGGAGAGCAGGTGAATTTACACAGCTAGTAATGTTCCCCGATAATGGGCATTGTCTTTCATGAAACAACTGACGGTACAGTATTGGCATTTCCTGTAGCCGAGTATTCAGCAAGGTGCGGGTACATGGTCCTGTCATAACTGCGAAATTGATTCCTCAACGAACACGACGATAGTAGAACATGCTGCCATGCAACAATCGATTGAGTCGGCCCTCGAACTCTAGGTCAACTATCTATGCTCATGAGCTCGTGAATAGAGTGCTGGACATAGAAATCCCATATAGAAGTCCGACCATTTTCGATGACAGGAGTTGCCTTGGGCACTTGGTCCAAACAAGGGTCTAGAAGACGAACAACGATTAAATATCGTTAGCATCGTAGAGACGCTAAGAAACGAGTGTTAGACCACCTCGCCATATGATACTTGACGAATATCCTCTTTCGGATCAGGCAGATGATGTGCCATAATACTTTGCATGTTCTTGCTTGAGATCCCTTTCCCGAGGCAGGCAAGCAAAACCTTGTAGCGTATCGCACGAAGTTCATTACTTAATCATGCCAAATTTCACCAGTGATACCAGCGTACAGTTCATCGAGCAATATACAGGGACGTAGACATCCTCGTGATGTCAGGCGGATAGTTTGCTGAAGGCGGCAACAACCTGTAGGGCTGTCGTTTATTTGACTTATTGCGCTCGCGCATACGATGCCGATAAATCCCAGGCTCCTATTTTGATGGTACAAACGTCTTTAGCCATAAGTGAGGTGAAGGAGGAAGCAATGCAGCGGCCACGCGTCGGCCTTCCTCTGCCAATACGTTATAGGTCGAACATGCATTCTTCTGAGGAAAGGGAGGAGATCAGATAATGGATTGATTCCAAAGAAACATGGCAGACGCACGGTATCCATCGTATCCACTTGGATGCCTAGTCGGCTCATGTATGTTTGAAGAAATGGTGGTGGCTGCACCAATCGCGCACCCGTACCGAATAGTAAAATTTCTGCTACATGTTAGCGCGCGCAATCCAGAGAAGGAAAAAGAGGAACAACAGACCTGGTCTGGGCGAAACAAGGTCAAAAATCTCCAAGTGTTCTTTCCCCCATCCCTCCCACAAGGTTTGTGGTACATCCCATAGAAACACCTGTCCCTCAAGAAAGATGCATGCAGAAGGTAGGATAAGTCCATCAACTAGCTGAATGCCTTGATTGGTTATCCTCTTGACTTGTACAGCTGGCGGATTGTCGTCGGCGAGGATGTTGGTCAGTCCCCTGCCTCTGTCGTGATCACTCAGACTTCTCCAGCGTGGACTTGAGTGAAAAAGACGAGATGACTGGTGACAGAACGTTCGTTTGTGAACGGGAGCGAGAATATTGGTACGTCGTAGACAGTTCATGGTAAGCGGGAGACGACGATGAAATGACGTCACGGGCCCATCCTCAAATAAAAGCATGGCGATTAGACAACATTATGATACATGCACAGGTACGACTGGAAAATACAGAAATATAATAGAGAGATTCATATAGGCGCATCCGAGCGAAGCCTGGTCGACCTACGAGTACGTCGAATGTTGTCCGGGGGTGTAGCCGCCTTCCGCTTCTTCCCTCGCTTCGAGGTGATTGGTGTTGACAGTTCATCATTGCTCCCCTCATCTCCCGACTGATCATCCTTGTCCTTAGCAGCAACTTTCTTCGATTTTTTACCAGAAGCGGCGGTTGTCGTCTTTCTCTTCTGCTCTGGCTTGATATTCAGTTCTTCCCAGCCCCCTTGTTCGGACAAAAGTTTTATCGCATCCCAGGCTTTTTTATCCACGCGCTGAACACTTAGACGTCCACGAGTGACGAGGTCCATAGCTGAAAAGTTTTAAACACAGAAAAACGGCTAAAGGCAGATGAACTTACATTGAATGGCTTCTATGTCAGACTGACTGATATAATGGACCGTTTCCAGCACGGACTCGGTACTCTGGGATCCCACGTAACGCAAGAAGGATAGAGGGACGAAGTGTTGTGCTCGGGCGGTAAACTTGAGGTCGATCATGAACCATTTGGGTTTCTCCTTGTCTGATTTCTAGAAAGAAATAGCCATGAATAATCTGGTAAATAAAGAGGAATGGGACATACAGGGTCAAAGTACGGGTGCGAACTTGAGGCACAACGTCCATGAGCATACATGATACAACGCAGGTGTGAACACATACGGATCCCAAGCAGTGTCTGCACCAGGGTTGAGAGTTCAGCGATTCTTGACTATTAATATCCACCTACAATCAGGATACGCTTCCTTGGCAACCTGCGTGAGTCGTGTAAATGAAGGCAAGCGGGATCAGACAGGACTAGCAGACCTCAGCGAATGCCGCGATTCCTTGATGCCATAACGCGTCAAAGCTTATTTCATGCTGAGAAAAGACAAGACGGACCAGGAACTTTGCAATTCGAATGGTAGAAAAGAGCCTGGTCAGACGCCTCAGTGTGTTGACTGTAATCAATAATGACACTAAGCCCTTTCGTACCTTGTCTCCAACTTTCATCTCCTTCATGAGATTTCTAGCTTCGTAGTTGCGAACGCCCTCCCATGGGGATGTACTGATGGTCTCGAAATCGTCGACGCTGAACTATCGAGACGTCTGTAAGACCCTATGGCAGTCATGAAAAGTGACTGCACCTGCGATATCGTAAATATCATCCAATCCAATCAGAAACGGGACGTTACCTTTACATCCTTTCCCTTGACGACCCGGGAGTCGGGTTCTGCCTTGAGAAGCCAAATTTTCTCAGGTTCTGACATGACCAGGAGAGAATGAACGCTAACGCGTTGTACTTACTAACTGCGCCTGGAGACGCCGTGTTCTATGCATATATATATACACGATCTCGAGGTGGGTAAAAGACTCCATAGCTAAGTGGTTATAGCATGAGATTGCAGTTATTACTTTGGATAGGTAATTGTGTAACAATCTCGAGGTCGCGTGTTCGAGTCACGCTGGGGTCTATTTTTGATTTTTTCTTTTTCTTTTCTGAGACATGCCACTGGTCAGAACTTGGAAGTCTTGACTGAGGACTCTTCAGTCAATATGCTCAGTCGAAATGGAATGTAGGGCGCAACCGGCAGGGTGTTCTACAAGCTAAAATTGGGATTGTTATCTCCTTTTCAATTAGTATACGTCTTAATTTCGCAACATGCGATATTTAGCATTCTCTGCCGCAGCGGTGTAGTGGATAGGCACTGCGAAGACCAGACACATTTCGTGCGACTACAAGTCTACGACTTGTCCAACTCCAAACTCAAAGCCTTTGCTAAAGGTCTTTGACTCGCATCCATATTGAAGCAGTCCTTCAGCCACACCCAGATTAGCTCAGGTAGTTCAGAAGGCATTTCAGGTCGAGAACCATTCACCAAGACTTCATTTATAATCGCCCCCTCTGCCCAGATGTGAGAGAAGGGAGGCCTGCCACTGTATATCTTTCAAGAGTGTTGATTGGGGCTATAAATATGGTACCTAAAATAACCCTCACCTCAATGACTGTACACCCATACGAGTAGACGTCTCTTGCTTTCACATATCGTTGATCAAAAAATCGAACCACCATCAGCTCAGGAGGAAACCACCGTAAAGAATCACCCAGCCGAGATAATGATGAGCTTCCTGGGGCTTAAAGTTCGATCGCCAGCGCTAATCTAAAGTCACACAAGCAGCAGTGAAAGTCATCGGTGATAAGTATATTAGCCTGCATGAGTATGTTAGAAAGTACTCTCGAGAAGATTTTATACTGATTCCACGAATGTCACCGTGGACTATAGGTGGGTGAGCAAGTGGAGGTAAGCTATGCCTCTTGCGATTTCAATTATCTGAAAAGGTTCATGTGAATGAAAGCTAAGGCATCAGTGAGAACGAGATACAGATTGCAGACGGTTGTGGCAAGGATTACGCTCGAGGAAAGACGTGATATTTCGTTTGTCATTCAGGGGGAAATCAAGCAAAAACTCGGAGCAAACAATTCTCTTCGGACACCTAGGAACAGAAGAATATTTGAGTGCTTCAAGTTCCTCCACAAAAGGGCTTCGTTACAGAGGTTCTGAAAGTCGAACGAGTGGTCAGCAATCGAGATGCAGCGATACGATACATACCTCGATTATCTGTAACATACGTACTGCAAAAGCGCTATATCACAGAACATCTCACTGCGCCTGTTCTGCAGAATCTGGACCAATTCTTTGGCACGAACCAACGCGCCGTCGACGTCAATGATATTCTTGTCGTCGCCATTTCCCCTGGAAAAACATTGGTCAGAGATCCATGTTTCCTGGGTTTTTGCTTGTCAATAATGAGAAGAATATAAGTGATAAGCTACGAAAGAATGTGAGTAATATAGTAGCAAGCGCAGTAGTGATATACATACCTCAGTCGGGCACAGCGTAGGTGAAACGACTGAGGTATAGGGTAGGTACGGGCAGGCTATATAGATAATTGTGAAAGACAGGAGGTGTGATATAAACGGTAACTAGGAACGAGGGATGATCAAAAGGTAAAGTAAATACAAACGTACGGATATCCTGCAACAGTCAATGCCTATACCCTACCGTCAACAATTCCAATAATGCACAAATATTGACTTTCGAAGCAGGTATATCTGAATTTATGCCATGATTTGAGCCATGATCCTAGATTAGGAGCCTGAGGTCCCATGAGGATCACAAAATAAGAACACAAAATTCGCAAGAACAGGCTCGTCGTATTGAATAGCGTCCGTCCTGGTAGTGCAATCATTTCGCGTACTTCTGGCGGTGATACTCGTAAAACTTGATTGGATCTCGGATGAGTCCTATATGAATCATTCCGTATGATCAAGCCAAACAGGATGAATACTTACATCCTTCCCGAATGTATTGAAAAATGCTACTACAAAGTAGATCATCCTGAAAGTCTGGATCGGAAACACAGTCCGGCGTCTCCATTATGATTGTTATGTCGTCACTTCGTGTAAAGTCAAGTGAAGAGAGACAAGGAGATGGATTAGACGGCGAAGCAAAATCTTCCCAGGAGAAGGGTCGGAGTAGCTGGGATGGCTGGCAGACTATTGAGGCTTGGCAACACGAGAACAGTCAAGGGGCGTGTTGTTCCGTCCGACTTTCATCTTATGTTCATCTCTGGATTTACCAAACAAATGTCTGATAGTTAGCGAATCCATAACACCACACCGCATATCCACCTCCATACGTACGAGAAGCCCTAGTGAGGAATGCGACTTCGATTTGCTTGCCGGACAGAGAAGAACATTATGGGTGAACGATAGAGAAGGAAAGCTGGCGCGAGTTCGGCGATAGCGGCCCGGGGCCGATGCCATCCCTTTTCGCCCTGACCACATTTCTCTTCGACTCGCGCAGCTCGGATGCGACTTTACTTCGTGGCTTTCCAAGATAAACTCAAACACTCCACCGTCGAAAATATATTCCTAATGCAAGTCTCCAGTCAGCAGAGTCATAGATATGCCCCATGCAGGTGGTAAGGACAAATGCAGAGATTTCTAGTTTTTCATCAGGATTTAATCATGGTTGGCTGAGAGATCTAAAGGTGCATTATTTGACTCCATGTTTGATCTTGCTCAGCGCTCTTAGTCGTTGTCGTCACAACAGCCATGAGCTCAAATTCACTACAGCGACCGAGACATGCCATTTATTCGCTATCTACAAAACGGACCGCTAAGGTCTTGCAATCGTTCGTCCAGTACTTCCCGGGGTGCCCTCTTCTGCGAAATTTGTGGATGGCCAGCAAAATACGCTAACACTGATCTGGACACTTCGGACAGAGTTTCACTTAGAACATACTCCGCTTATTATCTCTCACAAGTGCGATACCTTCCGATGACGCCGCCTTCGATAGCGAGACTCTCGACACTGGGAAACTTCGATTCGTGCTAGTATTGCCTTTTTAACTGGGACTGCGCCTGGGATCAGTCTGGAGGTTTTCCGAACAAGCAGTCTTCTTCACTGGCAAGCAGCTCCACTCCGAGATCTTTGTTCCTGAGTTGGAGCCTGAAATCATTCTTCTTGTCTGGGTCCCGACTGCATGCTTGTGCAAGAATCGCTGATAATGGGTTTCCGGAGGAATTTCCAACTAGCTACGCTGGGCAGTGGAATTTCAAAACGCCGAGCGGTGATTTCATTTCTGAGTGATGTGTCTCCGCGGATGCTACACTAAAAGACAATGAAGTTGACACTTTTAAAAATGATATGTTAGTATCTGTTCTTACTCTATTGGAGGAAATGAACCTACTTGTATTTTATCCAGATTTTACAACAGGACCGGCGACACCAGGCCTAAACCCACGCCCTCGAAATCGTACCTCCTCACCAATCGGTGATCTCATCAGCAGAGCGCGCCAGGCGTGGTGAGGATCCGGGGATGTCCGATCCAGCTAGGCGCATACCCGAAGAGCCGGTGGGTTCACCCACCACGACACCACCTGGTCGACATGACTCAGCATTTCACAGCGTCCTTGCCATGCCTCCCATGAGACTGTCGATTCTGACCTTTCTGCCAGAATACTCACCCCGCCCCTGGAGAACCAACGACATGCTCATACGGTACTAAGCATGGCGAAAGAACGTGTGGTTGCGGGTGTCCACGCTTCGCGTCGATACATATCTTCTTGTTACGGTACTGCCCTTCATAGTTTTGATTTTTGCTCAGCTCACTGGATCGGTCTGAGACATCCGAAAGAGACTGCTAGACTCTTGAATTTTGGTACTGTACGCGGTTATCCTACTACCACCGAACTACTATGCTCTCCGACGCAACACATCGCGAATCCGTCTACAGCCATTGCGACTAACTAGTTGAAGCAGAAAAATAATCCTATCAAACCGTAAAATCTGCCGTTGTTACATCCAAGAGGGACTGAAGGAAGTGCGCCAGGAAATTGTGTCGTTGGCGTATCTGTGCCACTATATATCACAGGTACGTCCTATTATTCATTTGCTGTGCTGGGCGATGCATTATTTTGCCAATGTAGCGGAACGCCAAAGTCTCAAGTATCGCATCGCATCACTTTATCGACTGCCGTCTTGCTGGCCATCCATGGAAATTTTCAGTACGGCTCGAGATATATGTTGACTATAACTTGAGCATTCCTGGCGTCACAAATTACTGTTATGATGAGTGGTTAATGCCCCGTGATCTCTACCAACATTTTCGAAATTTCCTGCAGTATGAGGGCTTATGCGAAATGAATATCATGGGGGCGTGGGCAATTCGAAACTAAGGAAAGTACGTTGGCCACCTTTGATGCGAATCATGGACTAATGAGTTTACGTTTTAAGACTGATGTCATTCTATGTTCGGTGATGGAACTTATTATTTTGAACCGGTGCATTATTGTCACGATGAATTTCAATCTCCTCGTCGGCTATATCTCAACCGAAGCATTGTACCACTGCTTGTACGAAGTTCGAACCATGCTCGTTTGAATATTCATCTAGGTAGGCTGAACTGAATTCCTTGATCCGTGGTAACTCTTGTAGAGGAGTTCATACGGCAGCTTCGACTTTGAGGACGAATTGTCGAGTCACCCTTCCGACAGACATAAATTCATCACACACTTTATCACGATTTTTATCACGACGACTCTTTACTTGGAATTTGGAATTTGGAAGACCAGGCGCGACCAGTTTCGTCGGTTACCTATCATAAATCCGGTACATGTCGCAATGAATGTAGAGGACTCGCAATCTCAGCTCTTGTGAAATCCGGTATCACTAGTACAAGAGTGTCCATGTACCTTTGCCAATCGTCCAGGTGGTCATGAATAACAAATATGACGATTGCCTTGGCCCCTTCGACGCTTATTGATGTATGCAAGCCAAACTATGTTCGGCAGCATAGACTACTTGGTTGAATTACTCTGTTACAAGCAGTCTCATACGGCGTTGCAATACCAGAACCGTTGTCGCCTCCTGAGGAACGGTACTAGACACAAAAAAGCAACATGAGC